AGGTACGGTCTGTACGAGTTTGTGGTGATGCCTTTTGGCCTATGCAATGCGCCTGGTACGTTCCAGCACTCGATGAATAGGATCTTTCATGACTACTTGGACAAGTTTATCGTCGTGTACCTCGACGATATTCTCATCTTCAGTAGGACTGTGGAGGAGCACGCTGAGCACTTGAAAATAGTGCTAGGTCTCCTAAGACAGCACCAGTACAAGGTAAACTCGGATAAATGCGAGTTTGGTCGCACCAAGATCTTGTACTTGGGTCATGAAATTTCAGCAGATGGATTGAGGCCGGAAGATGCGAAAGTGGCCAGCATACGTGACTGGCCCAGACCTCAAACTGTTACTGAGGTCAGATCGTTTTTGGGGATGACGGGCTACTATCGTCCGTTTGTAAAAAACTATAGTACTATAGCTTCCCCATTGACAGATCTTACTCGACTTGACACCCCTTGGGAGTGGACTGAAGAGTGTGAGGCAAGCTTCAAGCAATTGAAGTATGCTCTAACACACTATGAAGTTCTCAAACTTCCCGATCCYGACAAGCCGTTTGTCGTGACAACAGACGCCARCCAATATGGCATTGGCGTTGTCCTTGCACAACAGGAGGGGCCAAAGTTGAGACCGATCGAGTATATGAGTAAGAAGATGCCTTCCAAGAAGCTAGTTGCGTCCACTTATGAAAGAGAGCTCTACGCCCTATATAGAACGCTAGTTCATTGGCGACATTACCTCCTAGGGAGATTTTTCTATGTGAGGTATGACCATGAGACTCTGCGCTGGATTAAGACGCAGCTCGTGTTGTCTGACGCACTCAAGAGATGGATTCAAGTGATAGATATGTATGACTATCAACTTGATCCTATCAAAGGTCCGTACAACAAAGTGGCAGCTGCGCTGTCAAGAAGGGCAGACTATCTAGGCGTACTAGTAACTGAATTCGGCATATCTAATGATCTTACTCGATCGTTGGTGGAAGCCTATCAGGGAGATACAGTTATGTCAAAGATCATTCGTAAATTCCAAGCAAAGGACAAGAAGACTTTGGACGAATTTACCATGGTAGATGGCTTGCTGTTCCTTGAAAAGGCAGGGTTTAAAAGACACTGTGTCCCGGATAGTGAGTCTTTGCGTAGTTTATTTTTAGGAGAATGTCATGATGCTRTAGGTCATTTTGGTTATAAGAAGACATCAGCAAACTTAGTACAAAAGTTTTGGTGGCCTTCTATGTTGAAGGATGCAAAACTGTATATCGAGACTTGTCAGGTTTGTCAAAGAGACAAACCCAGGACTCAGGCTCCGCTTGGGCTGATCAAGCCCTTACCGATCCCTGAAGGTCCAGGTCAGAGTGTCTCCATGGATTTTATGGACACTCTTGTGACCAGCAAAACCGGCAAACGACACATATTCGTCATAGTAGATCGCTTTACTAAGTATGCCAGACTTATCGCTATGCCGGAGACAGCAAAGACAGATCACGTCATCAAACTGTTTATGGATAACTGGGTAAGGGATTTCGGTCTACCTACGTCTATCGTAAGCGACAGGGATGTAAGATTTACTAGTGAACTGTGGCAGTCTACAGCTGAACAGATGGGAACCAAACTCCAGATGACATCAGGGAATCATCCTGAGTCAAATGGACAGGCAGAACAGATGAACCAAGTGGTACAGCATTTGCTGCGGCACTACATCAAGCCAAGTCAGGATGACTGGGACGAGAAGTTACCTATCGTCGCCAGCCTGTATAATAACGCAGTGCACAGTGCTACCGGAATGACTCCCAACCAACTGCATCTTGGTTGGAAGCCTAGAACTGCCTTGGACTTCTTACTACCGGAAAGAGAATCCACTGCAGCACCTGGCAGCATAGAGTTTGTTGTTAAGTATGAACAGATGCTGCAGCAAGCCGTAGAGCACATTAGAAAAACTCAAGATGCAATGATAGCATTTGAGAACAAGCATAGACGGCCTTCTAATTTCCAGGTAGGTGACAGAGTTTGGGTAAAAGCATCTGAACTTGGTCAGAAGCTAGGAATCTCTAGAAAATTGATGCCACAATTCTTCGGTCCGTGGGAGGTCCTAGATGTGATAGGAGATCAATCGGATAGGCCATCCTATGTGATTCGCATCCCACCCCATCTACGCACCTACCCTGTATTCCATGCTTCAAAGTTGGCACCTTTCGCTGCTACTGAGCAGTTTCCTTCCAGGAGATCAATGCTGCCCCCATCCATGGATGGCGAAGTGGACATCGACCAGATTGTCGAGCATCGAGTGATGCCTGTTCCACGACCATCAGGCAGAGGGCGCCCTCCTAAACCGAGAATGCAGTACCGGGTGAGCTTCAGACATCACCTCGATCCCAAGGAAGATCGCTGGTTTACACGGGAAGAACTCATGAGAACAGCGCCTCAAGTGATTGCAGGCTATGAAAGAGAACGAAAAGAGAAGATGCCTGCAGAATAAGAGACTTCTCAGAGGACTCACGAAGTCAAGGAGGAGGGAATGCGAGGATCAGTGTCCTCGGTAGGCCTACTGGGCCCTTTCTGCAGCCTTACGCGCCCTAAGTGAAGGCGGAGGTGCCCGCCCTAAGTGAAGGCGGGCCTGGCTTTTAGCAAGAGGCCCTCGACTGTCAATTTCATATTTGGGGTCCAGGCAGTTGCGACGCGCCAGTTGGTTGAAAGAAACACAGGCCGAGTACCGAAGACATTTCCACGGCCTACCGGGCCTTTCCAAAGAATACAGGCCCTGGGCGTGATTCGCAGCCTCATACCCAACTGAACGAGGCCCAGCAGCCCAGTAGCTGCTGCATCCAGACAACATCCTGGGGCCTTCCAGAAGCTGCTGGGCCCAGGCCAGCCCAGCCAGGCTGCGAGAGCTGGCCAGCTCTTTTCCATAAAGGAAAGAGCTCTGGCCAGGCAGCCTCATTCAGGCACTCGCATGCTGGCAGCAGCGCTGCTAGAGCAGATGCTCGTGGGCTGCTGCTAGCANAGAGAGAGAGAGAGAGAGAGAGAGAGAGAGAGAGAGAGAGAGAGAGAGAGACAGACAGACAGACAGACAGACAGACAGACAGAGACAGAGATGGGCCGGAGGTTTTCCCTGGCAGAAATCGTTCCTGAGGCGAACTGGTGCGGGTTACAGGATCGATAACGCTGCTACTTGATATGGCACTAAGTAGGGGGTAGATAACACCCTCGTGAAAAACATAAACGCAACCAATAATTGGGGTGCAGTGGGGGAATGGGCCGGAGGTTTTCCCTGGCCGGAATTGGCCCTGCGGCGAACTGGTGTGGGTTATGGGAACGACAACCCTGCCCCGTGGCATGACATGATATGAGTAGGCTATGCTAGGAATGCAGACCTGGGTTGGTCCCGGGCTGTCTTTGTTAAGACCTTGGTCAAGAAAAAGTAGGACCAGTAGACACTGCCTACGGTGGCCCCGCTGGACGACTGTGCTTGGACCGAAGTGCCCCTGCAACTGGGCTCGTTCGATAGTGCTTCAACTGGTCTGTCCTGGCCTAGCGCCAGTGCCTGCAACTGCTGTCCGGTACATCGGAGGTGCGCTGGCAGTGCGCCTGTAGACGGAGAAGCAGGGGTTATGCTAAGTAAGTCCTGGCCTAGTGCCAGTGCCTGCAACTGCTGTCCGGGACATCCAAGGTGCGCTGGCAATGCTCCCGTAGATGGAGAAGCAGGGGTTATGGTAAGGAAGAATGTTGAGGTCGAGAGGGGTGGGTTCTGTGAGCATCCAAAAGAAAAAGAAAAAAAAAGGGAATTAAAAACAAACAAACAAACAATAAAACTAAGAGAGAGAGAGAGAGAGAGAGAGAGAGAGAGAGAGAGAGAGAGAGAGAGAGAGAGAGAGAGAGAGAGAGAGAGAGAGGCATTGGATATTGGAGTTAGTATGTGTGCTCGGCACACATCTGCTGTCTTGGCATTGTGTGATTCTGTATCATGCCAGAGTGCATTAATGTATCAAATGTCAATAGTATTTATTGCATGAGGAATAAGCAACTCAGGATACCCTGGAGACAGGTGCCCAGGCCCCAGGACATCCATATCATTCAGGGAACAATCACAACTTCAGCCAGCGGATCCCTTACAACAGCCAGTAAGTTAATGCAGCTCGAGTTCAGCCAGGTGGTGGGCCAATTGCATGAACTAAAAGGTCCCGCAAACTGACAAGGTCGACAGTCATGTCCCCAAAGAGGCCATGATTTTTTTTCGGATGCAAGCGAAAATACTCTACTCCCAAGCTTGCAGCTAAGTGCTCGAAACAAGGAGCTGGTGAACTGCCTCGAAATTCAATCAGCTTGGCTTGTTCACTGTTCTGAACCAGAGGGACTCCTGCACCAGGACTTACGATCATGTTGGCAAGCCCAGCACCATGAGGAGCTATTATTATCCTTGCATAGTAGAAGAGGTAGTAAGTTTCCTCAATGGATGGTATGGGATTATCAGAGAAGACCTCAAAACTGTAAGTTGGATACCATTCATAGAGCATTCGGATGATATCAGCCTCATTACGTACTCGGCGGCGTTTTGTTCGTGAAATAACCAGGCCCGGCTGGGTTGGAGGGCGGTTAGGGTTCGCAGGCCAGCGGATAGGGGCGTTAGACTTAACATCTGCTGCCTGATGGTCTGAAAACACATGTTGAAATAAGGGAGGTGGTGACAGTGAGCCTTGCACAAATATGGTTGGGTACTTCTTTTCAAGTGTTAATCTGGTTATGGACCTCATTTTACGGACATGCCACCGACTTCCGAGAACACATTCATAGCTTGATTCAGGCCAGAAAACAGTCCCACCAAATGCATTCCCATGGATCAGTCTCCTCGAATGGATTCCCAACAAGGCAAAAAGTTTTGATAGCATATCACGATGTTCCTCAACCACATGGATCATGATAGAATCATCCTTCAGAAGCTCCTGGTAATATGCTGCAACTCTGGGGTAATCCTCGGTGAGAGCATGATACACATAGTTTCCTGTGTCTTGAGATATAACAAATATCTTGTTGTATGACTGTGCTGCCTGTGGCAGCATATTTTTTGGAAGGAAACGGGGGCAGAGCCCCTTGTACCATATGAGCCCAATATCCTCACCGTAGACCTGACCTCGGCTGCTGATGAACACATTCTTGATCGTAACAAGAATAGGCATATGATAGCTCTCTATCCTAAAGTCCTCCTCATCACCCACATCACCATGAGTCCATCTTTCCGTAGCTGATTCCCATGGCCCCCTTTCAAGAAGGTAGCTGAAGGGTCTCATGGAGTGCCTCATCATAACAATACAGACTTCCCCGCGGGGGAGCTTCAATAAGTCTGATAAACTTGCACGCAGCACAATGCTATTCCGCATTATCACCCGCTGAGCATTTCGGTGGTTTTTCCTTCGCTTCTTCTTTCTCACCTTCAGCACTGTGGGAGGAATCCAGTTAAAGTCCTTGCGCCGATTAGGAATATTATGCAGGTGATTATCACAATGTGCTATCATCCTTCCCATTGGCATAAGGAAGACCCTGCTTCGCAGTTCCTCGAATATGACATCCCTGTAAAATATGGACTTCAGAGTAACACAGAGTATAAAAGCATCCAAAATACAAGGACTATCAGTCGGGAAATGGGATAACAACACTGCCAGCCTGCCAGGATCTTTGAGACTGTAAACCTGAAAACGCAGGGAAACAACGCCAATGAAAGTCATAAGGGGAAACATCAGACATATGGGCAGTGGTAGCCGCGCAGGTGACTGAGGTTTCCTGCAATCGTTTTCCTTTTTTTTTGTTTTGAAAGTCCAGGTTGTTGTAGAGGCTAGCCACCAGGCATATGACAGTCCCTTCCGTAGTTGGTCATTCGGTCATCCAGATGATTCTTTATACAGGCCCCCTATGAGACTCCCACCCACCCTTACTCCTCATTCAATGATCATTACTATCCCCGTTGCATCCCTACTCCCAAGGTCGCACCTCAGTATTTTTTTCTTTTTTAACCCAAACACTCAGCAGTCCGGTTGCTTATCACTGGCAAGCATAGAACAGAACAAAGATCAGAAAAGCAAGGACAGGTAGCAAAGTCACAGATTTTGAGGGGGTCTCGGCCCAGGCCAGCGCCATGAGCCGCCTGCAGCAGGTCTGAGAAGCAACAAACTGGTCATCCCAGCGGCGGCGAGGGGTGGTTGGGAGGCATGCTCACACCCAGTCACAGAACCCCATCGCAGTGTTAGGTGGTTGCTCTAGGTGGCCCCTCTTCCCCTCGCTTCCCCCCCAGAGCCCATCCCCTTCCACCACGTCCCATTTATGTCCTGATTCCGTTGCTCCTCATATCCTTGGCAATCATTGTCACGTTGTACTATTGTTATTCCTTGTCCAGTGCCCCCTCCTCCACACCTTCCCTCCCCCCCGCCCTCCTTCCCTCATTCACATGTCCCCCGTCCTCCCCCTTCACCCAAGTTTTGAAGCCTTGTGCCCTACTACCCTCCCTTGTTGTCCTACCTATCTATCCAGTCCCCTTCCCCCTCTTTTGTCCCCCCACCCATCCTTGTCCCGGCTCCCGCGATATGCACACAAGTGGGTTTTCTACCCTATCCCTACAGGCCTTCGGTAGGTCACTCCCTGTCTCTCTCCGCCCATTCTATTCTAGTTCGACCCTTGCAGTGTCCCCGTCCCCCATGTCGGGCGTCCTCTCGAACACTGTAGTTCAGCCGGCTTCCCTCTCGAGTGTTGCAGTTCCACCTGCTGTCTGCGGGTCATCACAATGACATCCTCTCTGTTTTCCATCTCCCGGGTGTCCTCTTCCATTCCTGTGGCCGCTGCGTGGCTGCGGTCCCTGATTCGCCTGTTGCCGTCCCCCAAGTAGTAGCAGCGCTGTGTTCGCCATCTTCCTCCTGTGCTGGCCCCATCCATGTCTACTCCCCCAGCCGATCCCCCACCTGAACAGTCCCGGTGTATCGCCTCCATGCTTCCGCGAACACTCCCCAACCCCCTTCCTTTCTTCTCACTGCATCTGCTGACAGTGCCAGCCGCAGGTTCTTCATTGTACATGCATGCAATGTATAGAAGGAACCCTTCACTCCTTGCAGCAAGAGCCTCGCCCGCATTGCCCATCAGTGTTTTTACCACCCAGGACCTGTACCCTTTTCTAGAGACCTGACTGGACAGTGGTTATAGGCATCAGGCCTAAGCAAGTCCTCACCGCCCTCCCCGGATGAGCCCTGTCGTATGGGTACTTCGAGCATGTTACATCTTCGATGCCACACGGGTCCTACCGGACCCGACTTGGGGCTAGAGGGACACAGCAGGCCGTAAAGGCCTCAGTTTTGGACCAGACCCGACGGGCAGGCCCAAACGACATTACCGTTTGGGCCTGGCGGCGCTTTTGAGGCTGCCGCCCGCCGGTCTGATCTGAACCGTCGATCTTGACGGTTCAGGTCACGGCCAGGCCTCGCAGCATTGAGGCCGGCCTCTTCTCCACCGGTACAAAAGACCGGTTCAGCCTCAGTATGAGGCATCGAGCCACTGGCATGCTGCATCAGCACCAGTGCGTATCGGTTGAGGCAGCAGCGCTATTCTTAGTGCAAGAGCAGCAGCAGCGGCGCGAGCTAGCGCAGCAGCAGCGACGAGCCAGGAGTTGGGCAGCAGCCCTCGGCAGTACGGCGGCCATAGCCGCGACCTGCAGTCGGACTACAGCGAAGTCAGGTACCAGGAGGCGAGGAGATCTTCTCCTCCCTCCACGGCTACCGGCTGTCCCCTCCTCATCTCCTCCTCATCTCCTCCTCCTCTGCCATCTCTTCTTCTCCTTCTTCTTCTTCTTCTTCTTCTCCTTCTTCTTCTTCAGGCTTCATCTTCTTCTTCTTCAGACTGGAGACTTGATACTAGTTGGACAGAGATCAGTGTTGGACTTCGGTGGTAAGAGGCTGTGGTACTTACCGGATTCGAGACTTGGAGATTGTTGGGGATGATACCGGCTGCATCACAGATTGGACACCGGTTACATTAGGACTCTGTATCTCCGACATTGGTGACTTATTGTCCACGACATTTGATCTTGTTCAATGACATTTTGGACTACCATATCGGTGACCTACTGGATTCTATCTCGGTGACATCTGGCGCTACCTCCATCTCCCACCTCCTTCGTCTCTCCTCCCACCTTCATCTGTGTATGCGTGTACGGGGCCTGAGCATCATCTATGAATGGCTCAGACCCCACCCTCTCACGATTGTTTGTGTGTGGAGTGATATCTATCTGAGTCAGTCTATGTGAGTCAGTCCATTTATCAGACTTCCGCTGCATACATGCTCATCCTATATTGGTTGATCTCTTGGTTCTGCCCATACTTGACGAAGTATTCACAAGTATGCAACAGTTTTGGTATCGGAGCAGACCAAACGATGGATCTGCTCACCAGGTAAGTCTGATTTAGGAATAGATTGCTTCTTCAATCTTCCAAATCAGCTCTGTATTACTATCGAGATTCAAAGTTGCAAATTTTTTTTTTCTTTTTCGGTATTCTGTTTAAATCGGCATTCCGTTTCAATTCGGTATTCGGACTTTCACTTCGGATTTCTGTTTTAATCCGGTATTCTGTTTTGCAATCAGACTCGACTTGTTCACACTTTTCATGCACGTGAACAGCAGCACACAACTGGCGACATGCGCCCACACAGTACACAGAGATATGTCTTCCAGGTAAGTTCGCTTCCACTGGCTATGGCGACTGAGCGCCCAAACAACTCACTGTTCACACTCTGGATCACCCTGGATGTCCCACACGCAACACTCTGTAACCACACGCAACACACACACACGCACTACTTCAGCTATGGCAGCGCTAGCTGCCACTACCCTAGCGCTATACTACACTCTTCTGCCCACTTCGTCCTCGGGCACACTGCAGACCTCCTCGCACAAGCTGCTGAGGCAGCGCTTCCGCATGGCATCCGCAGGAATGAATGMATGGCTGGACGYAGCCTCTTGATTTATACTTCTGCGCTGCGTTGGTCTGCCCTRTGTCCCTTGGCCCTTGGTGCACACAGTCCCAGACGGTACTTGCTGGACAGGACCGGACTGCTTAACTGGGACTGTTGACTCAGCGAGGTGGCCTACCACCACTTGACCACTTGCCTCTGTTCAACGCAGGCTCACTCCGAAAGGCCACTTCTAGAACCCTCTGACTTGGCCTTTCGGTACTGTAGCAGCTACGACTTTGCCCCTTCAGGTAAGTAGCAGCTACGACCTTGACCCTTCAGGCATCCTACAGCTACGACTTCGGAACTGTCTAGGCTCCGACTCTACAGGTCTACAGTTCGATTCCCTTCTACCCTGTGACCTACGACAATCTACCTACCACTGGCTTTCCTACAGGTCGAAGGTCCAAATCTACGGGTTGACATCAATACTGTACACAAGTAAGATGGGGAACTAGGGATCGAGCCCTGGGATCTGCATTCGCTACGGCGAACTGGTGAATACCGTTTCAGTTTACTTCGGATTCCGATTAAGTGCGTTCTGGGTAATCCGACATTCCGTTTTTAATTCGGATTTCTGATTTTAATTCGTGATTAGGTTTAAATCAGTACTCTGTTTAATTCGGCATTCTGATTTTAATCCTGTATTTCGTTTCTAAATCGGCATTTCCGTTTTATTTCGGTATTGGAAATTAGGCTTACGGAAAATTTCGGTTTTGAGCAATTTGGGAAATTTGAACGTTTTTGGAACCATAAAACCGGAAATTCCGCGGAAACGCAGAAAATTAGGGTTGGGCTCCGAGATTTTCGCGATTTTTTTTTTTCTTTCCCTAGTGTGAAAATTCCGAAAACGGACTTAGGCCTTTAAAAATCTGATTTTGCAGGTCGAAATTCCCGAAATTTTACGTTTTTAAAAAATTCGAGTGTTTTTTTTCCAAATTTTCCGAATTTTTTTTTTGGCAAATTGTTCGTAATTGCTCCCCCAGAATCGCAACTTCCGGGAAGTTCACTATTCAACGGTGAACTCTCAGACTATAGATGATCTCAACGGATACCTAATCTTTACAACTTAAAATCGGTAATTATCATTATTGCAATTATTGTTCTATTGATTATTATTAAGAAATTAATTCATTATTTAATCATTTGCGAGGATCAGTGTCCTCGGTAGGCCTACTGGGCCCTTTCTGCAGCCTTACCCGCCCTAAGTGAAGGCGGAGGTGCCCGCCCTAAGTGAAGGCGGGCCTGGCTTTTAGCAAGAGGCCCTAGACTTTCAATTTCATATTTGGGGTCCAGGCAGTTGCGACGCGCCAGTTGGTTGAAAGAAACACAGGCCGAGTACCGAAGACATTTCCACGGCCTACCGGGCCTTTCCAAAGAATACAGGCCCTGGGCGTGATTCGCAGCCTCATACA